CAAAATGTAAGTTTGGGGGTGTGATAAGCGCCGAATATTGTATATTCAAGCGCCCTAAATTACATTAACAAAGTCCAGTTATTAATTATTTTATGCAGATTAACTCCATTTGCATGTTTTTATGCATTTTCATGTTAAAGTGCAAAAAGGAAGCAAAAATAATGCCTTGTGGAATTTTGAGCAAAAAGGATGCCATTTCTGAATTTCTGGCAGCAGTGATCCTGACTTTTGTCGCCATTTTTGACCTAGCAAACTCAAGAACTAGACTTCTATCATAACATGAAAGATTTAGATCTCTGAATCAGCTTTCCAAATCTTCAAGTGCTTCATCATTCGGAGTTCGGAGCAGAGAGTTATGATCTTCGTAACAGAGGTGTGCAGAACTGCCTGGCAGCACTGAAGTACTGCCTTTCTCCCCATTTTTGACCAACCAGACTTGAGAATTGGGTCTTCATCAAAACATGAAGTTTTTAAAACACTGAATCAGCTCTCCAAATCTTCAAACAGATCATCATTCGGAGTTCGGGGCACAAAGTTATACCAGGTTTCCCAAAATAGGTCAGCGCTGAGCAAGAGGAACATGTTGCACATTGCACTAAGTTAGAGTGCTCGAGATCACTTTTTGAGTGCACGAAAATCAGGCAGATTGCACTCGGAAATGGCTCAATTTCAGCTACTTGCACATTGGTTTCCTCAATGCCATCTTCCTTCTTTATGAAGTGGTTGGAGGTGTTCCTAGGAGGAGAGAGAGGGTGTGTTGGAGAATAAAAAGCTACCCAAGGGCCACACATTAGGAACTTTTGATTTTTGCAAGATAGAGGAGAGAGAAGAGAGCAAGAAAGGAAGGTGTTCTTGAAGCTAACAAGGGGGAGCTCGAAAATTGGAGATGGAGTTCAAGCTTCTTCTTCATTCTAAGGCTCCAATGGGTAACTAACTCTTCTTCTAGGGAGGTGATGAAACCCCTCCCTTGTAAGCATGTGTTAGTATAGTTTATTTTTGGGGATTACAATGTATTTTTTATAGTCTTTCCATGGTCAAGAGCCTCATTTTTGTTGTAATGAATGTTGAATGTTTATAAATGATTATTGTGAGTTATTCATCTTGTCTTGGATGGTTGCTTTTCGTAATCATATTGCTTGCACTTCCATGGTGACAATGGAAGTTAGATCATGGAATGGTTTCAATGGCATGGAGTTAGAGAACCTAGATAGTTCATGGCTTAGGGTTTCCCTTTGATGGTCTATACTTGATTCTTTGCTTTATGTGCATTCACCATTTAAATTAGGGCGTGATAATCCTTGACTTAGTAAGCATGTTCTAAGCTACATTTTAGTTTAGGTAGTTGATCATGTGAACCTTTGATGGTTTATTCTTGCCTTCCTATTTAAATGAACTTCTTGAGGATATTATAGCAACCTAGTATTGTTATGTATCATGACTATCATATATGTTGTTTTTCCCTTAAATTATTCTTAACCTAGCATGTGTATAGGGATAGAGGTGGATTCATTTCCCTAGCCTTCTTTACTTGTACTTCACTCCCTTGAATTCTTGCAATTTATTGTTTTATGCACTTTTAATTTCCTAGCTTAAGTGACATCCAACAAACCTCTATAAACCCTTTATCATTCTAAGAACAATTCTAGACACTTAGGTTGCCATAGACTAGCGCAGTCCCAGTGGTTCGACTTACCCGACCAATAGCCCTATTTTACAATGATTCGTGCTATTGCGAAGGTTGATGTTTAATTGACCAACCGATCAGGAGCGCGTGCCGGTTTAAGAAGTGAAAAAGTTGATGTTAGGCCCCAAATGGTTGCCGGATTTGGAACTAGGGATAGTTATCAATCTCACCTCAGGAAAGTCGGTTAGTAGTTTTCAAAATGTTAGTTAGGGTTGGTAGAGGCTAAGCATGAGGACATGCGCATTGTATTTCATTACATACACAATCTTATTGAAATGTGTTATGTGGTTGATGGAATGGTTATTTATGATATAAATGTGATAAAAATCCCAATGCATGATCCTGGTTCCCTTTTTATCCCTTTGTGTGCTATGTGGCTCAAAAGAGTCCAAAGTTGATGCCTTAGGCAACATCTACTGAGCCTCTGTGCTCACCTCTTCTTTTAACATTTTCCAGGTCTTGCCAAGGAGGTAATTGATGACCTTCCTCTGCAAGGGTAATGAAGAACTCCTCCGGTTTTTTTTTTTTTTTTTTTTTTTTGGCAATCTTTTTTAACTTTTGCACTACATGGCATTTTTGTAAACTTTGAGCCAAGTATGATATTTTTTTCTGAAATCCTAAATGGAAATGTAACCTATTATTTTGGAGTATAAAGATATCACTCTAAGCATTATTTTTGTAATATTATGAAATGAATGAATGTAAGAAAATGATGGGGTAGTTAAGGGGTTTTACATCATTTTACGTTAGTATATGTATACGTAGGATGTGTCCCATCTTCTCCTTATGTTCATGTATGTTTTTGAATCAGTTGGGATCGATTTGAGGTCACCCTTGATGCCACGGGGGCACCCGATGCCTTAGATAGCCAGAAATAGTTTATTTTTCACCTCCTAGGGAGTGTCAGCCTGCTGGTGACATAAGCCAACCGGCTGACTGTTCATTTTGGCCAAAACAGAGAGTTGGCATCACTAGAAGGTTGTTTAAGCCAGTTGACTATATCTGTTAACCTGATGACCCTTCAACTTCGGCTGGCTAACTCCTGGCAACGCACTAGAATTTTTAGTCGACTTCAAACAGTCATCACACCATTATTTCTTAACCAAATTGGGTTAAATTCAAGAATTTTGAGTCATATTTTCAATGATACCAATTTTATTTAAACATTCCAACCATATAAGAAGTTATGGCCATTTTAGTGTGGACTACTTCGGAAATCTTTCAAACTGTAAAGGCCTAATTTCGTGAGATTGTTGTCTTTGCGTCTAGAACCGTACCAAATGAGCTTGTATGGCTGTGATGACTTAAGTGGATTCCCATTGACTTATTTAGAGGCAAGAAATTTCTCTCATTAACTTTGAAATGACCTTATTACCCTTGCGCAGTTTTGGGTCGGGTTAGGACCCATATAGTGTTTCGGACCCTCCGATTAGGGTCGTTACAGCCAATGTCACTCCCCATTTTTCAAAATCCTTTCCAATGTAACAATCATCAAACCGTTAATGTAACTTAGCCCAAGGTGAATCTCCAACTCCATGAGAGAAGGTTTGGCTAACTATCCCTGACCTAAGGCGACTACTTAGCATCATTTGGGCATAGGGAACTCAACCACACATAGGGCAGTCTCCCTATGTTCCCTCTAGGTTCCATTAACGCCACAGACACAGGGCAACTCCTTGCCTTTTCGTTTTCAGAAACATCCTTTTTAAAACCTTTCCCAAATCAATTCTCTTTTCAAAAACTATTTTCCCAACTCACCCAATGTCAATACATGAACGTCACATGTATTTCTATGTCATGCCAACATGAAATTTCTTATGTCCAATTTACAACCATACTTGCATGCTTTAGAAGTAAATTTACACAACAATCATCATGCTCTCAATTTATTAACCAAGGCATTATAGCCATATAAAGCATGTAATAAAATCAACCAAGCACATACCTTCACAATAATTCCAATAAACAAGTAATTGGACACCTTTGCCACATAAAACACATTATCATGCCTCACATATATATAAATCCTAATAGCCATGAACAAACTTCATAATTTTACATGCTATAAACACAATAGTATAGAACTAATTCAAAAAAATCAAAGGAGATGGGTTTTAGAGACCCCTACCTAAAAAATCAAGCCAAAGTCCTAAGAAACCCCCACCAAGGTGACCCAAAATTTGAAATCATCAACTTGTAGCCATTGTCGTGCTCGCTAACTTTGCCTTCAATGGCAAAGTCAAATTCCTAGTGGAAATTAATGAAGTTGGAGCTTGAAGTCTTAGATCTAGAGAAAGAAAGAATATAAAGAGAGAGAGAGAGCATTTTCCGTAGAAACCAGGAGAAATGGACCAAGAATGATCATGTGGTCATTTCTATATAGCTTGGTCAACGTGGGGTCTGCTTTGACTGTAGAAATGACGAAAATGCCCCGTATGCAAATATATGCACTAAACATGCTATAATGATATAATTAAACATAGCCACATAAACATACTCCAAATAACACAATATGAAATGCAATGACCCCTAAAAATAATACTGAGTGCGAAAATTCAGGTACGGGACCCACTCGGGACCCGGGGCCTGACAACCCGAACAATGCCTAAATGGCTAAAAATGAATTCCTAAGAGTACTAAACTTTAAGAAATGCCCCAAACCTCACTCAAAACCTTCGCGGCACGCTAATTGGTGTGTGGCACACAAAACGAGACAAAAAAATAATAAGTCCAAAAATTTGAAAAATATCCGAAAAGCGGAAAATTTGAGAAACATTACAGATTTTTGGGAAGGGCATTACTTTACTTTTATCCTCATTTGAATCTTTATTTGAACTACTTTGTTTGAATTTGAATTGTGTTCTATTTTTCCCTTATCATTTTGAAATAGAAAAAGAAATAAAAATTAGAGTATAATTTAAGAAAGAAAATTTAACTTATCCGTCTAGGGGGCACATGGCCCCCTAGGCCTACATTGGACCTGTTTTTTAAAAATTTTGTAAGGGGATAACTATCCTAACTGCATAGACTCCAGAGTAACTTGAGTAAACTCCTCCTGAGAATAAGTTATCCAAGCCAAATGTTGTGTCTGGTGAGAATTTGGTTCCATGGCTGTAAAGCAATACTTTAGAGATGATGCGCCAATCAAATGATAATTATATAAATAATATATAGTTTACAAATTATTATACCTAAACCATCTTATTAAATGAAATTTTGTAGTCTAAAAAACTAATGTTTAGGATCTAGATTGACCATAATTCTGCTTTAGCATATGAATGACCGTGGGTCTATTTTTAAACCTGGCAAGAAAAGATACAATACCATGAACAAGTATTATTACAATCAAATAAAATCTCAGATAGGAGCACTGATTTACAACAAGATTAAAATCGATGTCTAATCTCCCAAAACATAAAAATAAACCAATGTATTCAAAATGACATCAGACACAGCAGATTGAATGATGACAACAACAATAGAAGACAACAATATAGAAACATAGATCCTAATATTGATCCCTTGTCTGACCCCGAAACATCCTCGGGAAAACCAAAATTCCTAGGATGAAGGAGCTTTCAAAGTGTTCCCAATGTCGATGATAAATCGGTATCTAACATCATCTTATTCAAGACGCTCCACAGCAGTGTTTACATAGTCCATTGGAATGACCTCAACATCAGCTGTTACGTTGTGTTTTGCTGCAAAGTCGAGCATCTCTTGCGTTTCTTTTATCCCCCCAGTGCTACTACCAGCCACGATCTTTCTCCCTGTTAGTCACATTCCACATTAGTTATCATTTTTAATAAGAGAAGCCGAAGAACCAAGAGGCGAAGGAAATTATCATTAACGTATATCAAATTAATAATAAGTTATGCTGACCAAGCTGCCCCTACTCACTTTCATAGAATACACTAGTGATGTCAAAAATTACCCATAAGCAACGGCATCACTGGTAGCTCTAGGCGTTTTTCTGGTGCACCGACCAAAACCAATGTTCCATGTGACTTCAACAATCCAATCAACGGTAAAATAGAGTGATTTGCATAAACAGTATCAATGATACCATCCATTATGCCCATTATAGCCTATATAAATTCAATATGAGATTAGAACACACTAAAACCTCAGTGAAGTGATAGATAAAAACAATAATTAGAAAAAGCAGATACCTGCATCTGACCCCGAGTAACGGCTGACCAAAAATGCATCAGCACCTAGTTATTCAATGGCTTCTTTTTTCTTGTTAGGGGATGTACTGATCACTGTCACTTTAACCCCAACAGCCTTTGCAAACTTCACAACTAATAATTACAATCCCATAAAATAGGTGTGTAGAGATTTTTTTTGCAGATTGTTGTGGATTGGGATTATATATTGCTTTGTTTACAGATTTGTGAGGATCTAGAGGATTAACCTTTACATTGACTCAAGGTTGAAGAAGACTGCACACAAGGTGTTTGATAAAATTCCCCAACGAATTGCTTCAAAGTGAAAGTTTGTGAATAAAAATGGCTCCCAGGTTGTCAAAGAAGGTAAAGGGCAAAGAAATTGATACTGGAAGGGCTACCAAGCGAGTTAGAAACCGGAATTCACATCCGGGAACCACAAATCGGTTCAAGTGTTCCATTGGTTGCTCCATCTCATCCTATTGCTCCTAATGCACCACCACAAGAGATACCAGCTGGGTATCCTACTGTGTGTGAGACCGGGAAGATCAAGTTTACTCAAGAGCACTTCTACGATGAGAATGCTAGGAAAACCTTCAATGATGTCTGCAAGGATGGGGCGATAAAAACCGAAAGAAATTTTCTTCTAGACCAGCTCTGAGACAGTGCCGAAAAGAAACTTATTGACTACATAGAGAAATAAAAGTGGGAATTCTTCACCAAGATGACAGGTGAATTTTCCCGGGACGTGGTTCATTATTTCTTGCCAATATCAAGAAAACTTATCTTCGTGACAACCACTTTGTGGAATCTGTCTTTGTGGTGGACTATTCAATTATGGAAAAGGTCGTTAGAGAACTTCTAAATGTGCCAAATGTTGCTACAAGCATTGGAAGAGTAGTTTATAGTGAGAATTCCATACCAAAACATTTAGAAATTCATGATACAATTTGTTTTCCGGGATCTCAGAAGCATCTTCACTTTATTCCATCCCGATCTCTCACTGATGAGGCAGCTCTCCTCAATTTGTTTGCTATTGCATACATTGGGTCTTTTGGAACGACCTCAAATCTTGTACTTCTTGGCTACTAGAGTTCGTATTATGATAGGATCATCTATTGTGCGAACTATGATTCTTCATTACAAGAAGGATGCTCGTCGCTATGCATCTCCATTCCCAATGATCATAATGGAGTTCTATAAGAAAAATAACATCATGATTCCTCTACGAGCTTATCATCAGAGGATAATGACTGAGTTGGATCTCCGTGTTTTGAAAAAATCTAAGACTGCTCGGGAGAATGCTGGAAAGGCAGAAGGAGGTTCAGTTGTAACTTCATCACATATGTTTGACTCTGACAAGTTGTTCACCACCAAGGGCAACTTCATAAAGAATGATGCCAATCTTTTGTTTGCTTCTCTACTTCAGAGTGATCGTGCTATTCTGGATAGAGTTCACTCTTTAAAGAATGAAGTAAGAGAGCTAAGAGCTGAGGTTAAGAGCTTTAGAGAACAGCAGTTGGGTATTCCTACGTAGGATGACTATAGACCCGCACCTCCAGAGACGTTATAGAGAGATGCTGATGATACTGAGGAGGAGGATGATGATGATGAGGTTGATGGTTCTGAGAATGATTCTAGTGATAGTGGTGATGATGTGGTGACATCTACAGTTTCGTTTGCTGGTGATGATATTGATGATTGATTTGGAGACTGACTACAATTTTTGTTTTTGTAGTTTTTAGTTTCGGATATTTTGATCCATGATGTGTGCTTACATGTTCATACATACTCATATGCATCATCATTTAGATATTTTTTTCTCTGTTCTAACAATTCAACTTGCCATCTATGATATGTGATTTTTGTTACTCTCTTTACTCGTTTATAGTCTTAACTTTCCACCTTTGTCATTTTGTTCCAAAAAAGGGGGAGAAAATACAAGATTCGGGGGGAGTAATTTATATCATGTTTATTAAGCTTTCACTAGTAGTTTTACTTGATCTATTTGCAGAAAACAAGTTGAAGCTTTCAATGATGGTCAAGAATAGTTGAAATAAATTCAAGGGAAAAATTCTATTTTTATTGACAAATTGTAATATTCCTTTTTTGCTTGGGTAGGTTATCTTTTTGTTTTTAAGGTTTTGTCATGGAATTGCCAAATAGGGAGATTGTGAGATATAAAAATTTTAATTGGATCAAAACAAGTCCAATTGAGTTGAATTTTTCAGTTCAAATTTCAAGTTCGAGATTGGAAGCGGAATTGAAGAGTTGTTCATGATCAATATCTTAACGCCTTCGAAAAAGGTAAGAACAACACTTTAGGAAGTTTAGTTATAAGGTAAGAACACTTGCATACATTGTATGTTTTCAAAAAATAAGTGTTGCCATAAGTTTTCAAAGCATAAAATCTTCTGTTCTAGTTTGGCCTACTTGAATTGGTTCAAGAGCAGCTGAACGATTGAAGTATCAAAGCTTTGTTTTTAAAAAAATCTACTGGCCAACTTGAATTGGTTCAAGGGCTGCTGAACCGGATCAAATCTTTCAGCAGATTATGGTAACTTCGTTTCCTACTTTGTTTCTACTTCCTATTTTGTAGACTTTTACCTTAATGGTTATGTATGAAAATTAACTTGTTTTTTTAAGTACAAATAGGGTTTCTAAAGTCTATAAAAACAAATTTTTTTTTTTTCCCCCTAAAGCTATAAAAACAAATTTTCTCACTTAGGGTTATATGGCTTTTTGTATTAAAATTCTGATTGTTATTAAAAACTTTTTTTCTGTGAGATTCTTAAGAACATACAAACTATATACACATAAGTGAATTAGGGTGTTGTTATATTCCTAATCATGACTGAGCAATTAAAGATTGTATCTACAGCAATCAGAGAAAACATATATTTTTTCTTCTACAACAAATTCAGATTAAAAAAAGAGGATTTTTCGATCACATTTTGAAGGGATCAAGGTTGTTGATCTACCAACAATCCTTCTACAAGGTTCAAGGTATAAGTCTGAAGTCGAGAGCTATTGGATGAGAAGTCGTAGAGCCACGGGCGTTCAGTAGATTGAGTCTCAGTATAGTAAAGGAGTGTGAGCCTGAGTCAAAGTTTGGTATACTTTGCTTTATACATAGTGGATCGTTTTATGTTCGGGACAGCGCAAAAATCTTCAAAGTTTTCTAATTAGTTTCCTTACTAAAATTCGGTGTCACTCTAAACTGTACTTGCTTTTATTTTGTGTGTGATTGTCTAATTAACCAATAATTTTTGTAAAGTAAAAAATAAGATAAAAAAACATGTGATTAATCTCTCTCTAAAATAATTTTAAAAAATTCAAACTTTCCACAACCTATTCCGTTGCGCAACTCACAACTACCGGCCACATTCTTTCTTCGTGTCAAACCACATTCCGCATCAGTTATCATTTCTAATAAGAGAAGCTGAAGAAGCAAAAAGGCACATAAAATTATCATTAAATAATATTTTTTATAATATTATTTGTATATAATAAAAAATACTGCAAAATTATTATTTTTTGATCATTTAGTTTTTTTTTTTTTTTTTTTTTTTTTTTTTTTTTTTTTTACTTACAGTAATATACACACTTCTGCATATTTATGAATTCTGGATAACATATATATATATATATATATCAAAATTCCTATATCCCCCAAGGAGTGATTGGACCCACATTGTCTTTGTCACTATTCGAGCGATTCCTAAACCCTCTGAACCCGTCCCCGCTTCACTGAAAAGGTCGTTCATCCTCCAGTACAGTCTTCATTGATCTGTACAATCCATGTGGTGGCTGAAGGAATCTTCTTATCTTTAGTTTCGTTCCTGAGAAAATCGACACGAAGGAAAGAAAACCGACACCGCATTTGTTGTCAATTGGGTTATAAATTAAACAAAGGAACCCAACTTCGGTGACCCATAATTCCCTCGATCGAAAAAATGGTAGAGAAATTGTGTTTGTATTTATAAGCTTCCTTAAACTTCGCATGATGGTAGTTGATTGTACGAATCAAACCAAAAATTTCCCTATCTTATTTGTGAAATGGATTAAGCATTATGTTTGAGAGTAATGGTAGTTGAGTATTTGCACATTCTGTATCTAGCATGGGGTTTCTTGCATATTACCGTTATTTTATTTGTAATACGAGAAATTATTAGGTGGTCTAGTTTCGGGACCAGGTGGTCTCAAGACCGGCTAATAATTTCTCAGTAAATATAATGATTGCGAAGAGCAAAATATTTCAAGGAATATGGATAAGAAAAACATCACTCTAAAGGTGATCCTTTGAGAGTTTAGCAATATCTGGAGTGACTCATTGTCATGTCTCCGCACTTGACTAACAAATAAAGGGGTAAGACTAACAAATAAAGGGGTAACACTCTGCAGATTTAAGATACGAAATGAAAATCATCAACTCACTGCCTAGAAAACAATAAAACTAGGTCTAAACATTTCTTCTTTATGAGATTTGTGGCATGGAAAGGCAAAATGCGCCAATATGTAATTGTATTTTTCATAAAGAATTGCTCTACATGAATTTCTTAGCACTTATATATGCTTTCTAATTTTGTAGATATTATTAATTCTCTGAATTTTTTCTATGAGTCTCAAATATCATTTGACATTTACCTATTTGTTACTGATTTTATCAGTGTTCCAATTTGTGAATCAGTCCTACAAGCATTACTGTCCACAATCATCCAACACCACAAAGTAATTTCAAAATTGAGACCACGAGGTCTCTGGCCAAGATGGTATTATCTCCTCCCTTTGAAATGGGAGGTTTAGCATGTTGTTGATGTGAGTGTGGAAAATGGATTCTTTCCATTAGTTGACATGTCACGACATCGCTTGTGCAATTACCAATGTACTACTATTATGGTTACATAAACATTAAATCCTAACAAAAGTGATGGCATTGTACATTCATAGTTTATAATAGCTTGGAGAAAAAATTAATGGAGAGGATTTGCTTGCTTTAACTTCAATATAACTATATTAAATTTGACACAAAGATAGAAAGGAGTTGAATCATACACGAGGAGGAGAGGATATTGTAATGACCCGGTCATTTT